TTTTTTTTTTTATAAATATAAAAATATATATATATATATAAAAATATTTTTTTTTTTTTTTTTTTTTTTTTTTTTTTTTTTCCACTAGATTGAGTAACTAACAGCATATTATCCCCTTCTCCCCTTCTGGGATTAATAAAGTGTTGATTCTTAATATGGTGTTTCCTAATATTAGACAACGCTGCCACCTACAGTTTAGTGGTAGTAATGATTTTCAATAGGTGTAACGCTCCTCTCCTTTCTGAAAGGCAAATCCCTATATAGCACTGACATTTATCTAGTGTAACGCAGTGAAATATTTGACTAATAAGTTTCTAATATAAACATCAAATCTCTGTGAATCATGTTCTAATTAGCTGCTGTCATGGTGTCTATTATCTTGTTTTATTTTAGACAATCTTGCAGTACAAAATGAAATTGCTGTAAAGAAAGAGATGCCCTCGCCAGTGAAGACCTGTTCTTATGATGAGCAGCTCAAAGGTTAGTTGTCCTTTTTATTAAAATTATAACCTTATCATTGTTCCTTTATACCTGTCAGGGAGATATTTTTTTAATAGATGACTAAGTTCAATACAATTAAAACCCTCATCTTGAAGAGAGTTTTAATTGTCTCTTTTTCTTTATCTTGATTACAAAGAGCATCTGAATTAACATTTGGCACCCATCCTGTTACTCCTACAGCTGTAGATGGTGCCTTGATGCCTTCAATGTTGCCTTTAGTGAAGAGAGAAGATGTCACCCCAATGGAAGTGACAAACAACCTTCAGGCACCCGGAGTATTTAAGGTGAATTACTGAACTGCTTTTATATGTTGAAGTTAACATATGCTCTGTTGGATTCACGTTTGTGGCGCCTTGGTTTCGTTTGCTTTGTACTTTTACTGCACTGAACAGCTTATTTTTTGTGAAAGATGTTTTAGAAATTAGATTCCGCATTTCTAATAACTCATGACATAAAACCCCTAACTTGTGCTTTTGTCGCTTTGTGTCTCTTTCTTCGCCAGAACGGTGACATTCGCACACCCCAGCCGACCCAGGATGTAGCAACAGCGCATCTAAATAAAAGCTTAGTTTTCAGCAATAGCTTACCTCAGCCCGCAGGCGATCCAGATGAAACCCAGGCTGCTGCTTTTACCAACGTCGATCCATTAAGCACCATCCAAAAGCAGGACATTGCTCCTAGCAGCTCATTCCCTTTGCCTGCAGAGTCTCTTCTCCCACAAGGCTCCCAGCAGTTCCTCTTAGAGTCCAGAGATGGTCTGATGCGGGAGAGGTCCGGCAGCGCTTCTGGAGGAGTGGGCAGGCTGTGTGTTGAACCGGCGCCCCCGCCGCCGCAGCTGCAGCTGCAGCTCTTCCCTGTAGACGAAGTGGCTCAGCTGGAGGAAGCCGTGAGACAACTTAAAGCTAAGGGATACTGCAACTTACCAATTCAGGCTGACAACTCGATAACCAAACAGCAGCAGCAACAAATCCAACACCAGCAACAGATCCAAAATCAGCAGATTCAGCAACAACAGCAGCAACAAATTCAACAGCAGCAACAAATTCAACAGCAGCAACAGCACATCCAGCACCAGCAACAGATCCAAACCCAACAGATTCAGCAGCAGCAGCAGCAAATCCAACAGCAGCAGCAACAGCAGCAGGTTTTGGAGAACTTGCAGCAGCAGCTCTTCCAGTCTCAAATCCAGATGCAGTGTGGCATGTTTCAGGATGCTGCCCAGGCCAAGAACGCAGACCTTCAAGGTTCCTCACCAGGAGTGGTGACCAACCAGACATCGCTTTACCCGCCGGATCAACAGCAGCAGCAGCAGACTCAGCAACAGCAGCAGCAAGCTGCTCTTTTTCAGCAGGCCAACGACCTTTGTTCCATGCAGACCGGCTTCCTCCAGCAGACCCCCACCCATCCCTCACCAACCATGTTCCACAATCCCAGTCCTCTGGCCGAGACGCAAGATCCACAGGCGTCAATGTATCAGAAAGCCTCTCAGGAGCAAGTCCAGGCTGCGCTATTCCAGAGCACCATGACAGTGCTGCAGTCTCAGGAGCAACAGCAATCCCCCACTGGGCTTTTCCTTCCCCAATCACCCCTGTCCACCCAGCTTACGACTGGTGGTTCTCAGCAGCAGCAGCAGCAACAGCAGCAGCAGCAGCAGCAACAGCAACAGTTGGCCTTCCTTAATGCTCTACAATCCTCCTCTCCTGAACCGCAGTCAGTATTTCAGACCCAGGCCCAGATGTCGCCCATGCAGCAGAGAAGCCCCATGGAGCAGCAGCAGTCTCCTCAGCCTCCGCCGCTCACACAGCCGCCCCAGCAGCCAGCCATGTTTCAGAGCATCTCCCCCCATTCCTCTCCAAACACACTCTCTCCAGGCCAGCAGCAACAGCAGCAAGCAGGCCTAATGTTCTGTAACAACAACCTGTCCACACAACCACAGGCCCCTAACCTCATTTTTACCAGTCCAGGCCAAATGCCTCCTCTCACCACCAGCAGTCTGGTTTCCCAGGAGTCCCAAAGTCCGTCTCAGCTGTTTTCCCAGGCCAGCATGGTGGGTGTAAATCAGCAGAACCAGCCTGAGCCCATGGCCTTGGGGAATCCCACCAATTCACCACAGCAAGTCATGTTTCAGGAGCAGCAGCCAATGCAGTTAGGCAGCACCCCCAACAACCAGCACGAGCAGCCAGTGAGTCTCTTCATCCCTCCATCCAACATGCCTCCCATGCAGGGGGGGCTGGCTGTGCCCGAGCTCACTCAGTCAGCCATGTTTGCCTCCCAGAACGGCGTGGCCAACCTTCCGACCTCCACCTCCTCTCCTGTCCAGCAGCCAGGAAGCTTGTTCCAGCACGCTGTGAGCGGGAACATCAGTCAACCCAGCCAGCCTCAGCAGCCGGGCCTTTTCATCTTCGGGATGCAGAATGGTAAGGACGTTAGAAACAAGGTGAACTCCTGTTAAAACCGATGAGTTAATAGAGAACAACAAGTGCCGGCAAGCTCGTCTTCATGTTTTTAAGTAAACGGAGGGAAGATAACAAAACACAGTCCTCATGTTTTGGCTCATTGCGCTAGATTAACTCTTCACATTTACTTTTTTTTTGTGGCAATGCATATTTTTCCAGTGTGATATGTTGTCCTGAAATACATTTACAGTGGCTTCCTAAAATATCCGCAGCGTTTGATTTTCTTTTTAATTTTGTAAGGTTAAAATCACAAACTTCAATGTTTTTTGTTTTTTCTTTTTTATTGGGATTTTATATGATAGACCAACACAAATAATCTAATGGATAATCTGTGGCAAGTTTTGAAGCATTCTGCCACAGATGCATTCCCTCAAATCTTTTGCCAAGAGGAGAAATGTTATTCTCTAGACAGCTGTCTGGTCCAAAAGGCCCAGATAGCTGAAAATTCAATGAAAGATGGTTCTTCAAATTGTAATTTCAAGGGACATTCTGAATACAAATGCACTCTTTTTGCAATTTTATTTGTAAAGACAAATGTAAAAATCATCTATCCTTTTTTTTCCACTCTGACGTTTTTGGTTGTAACAAAACTAAATGTAGTGAAAAATCAAGAACTAAGAGGTGTTTTTAATCAATAGTTGTACAAAGTAACATCACTTTAAATTAATTAGGCTGTTAAACAAAGCATAGGATGTAATCTTTGTGAAAAGGGATTGTTATGCTTTTATGAGAGAAATACATTTTTCTAGGGTATTTGTCATCTCTGTTTGGCAGATGGTTATAATAACAGTATTTATTTTTCCATTTAATTATAATATATGCTTATTCTGTTTTTGATTTTTCTGTCCCCTTCTTGCAGGATGTGGCCAGCTGATGAACAGCCCTGGAAACACAGTTTCAGATCAGATCATAGCAATCAGCCAGTCGGGTCAGAACCAGCAGGAGAGCGAGGCTCACATCCAGTCCCTGCTCAGCCAGTCTCTGTCCCAGTCTGGGACCACCGCACAGGGCAGCATGGAGGTCTCTCAGAACATGGAGAAGATCAATGACCTGCTCGTCAGCCTGCACGAGTCAGGCGGCAACCTCACGCGTTCGTTCTAAATGTCACAGAAGCTCGTGAGTTTTGTTTTGTTTTTTTTTGCCGAAGAAACCTGGAAAATTGTTAAACACGGAAGAAAAGGTCCAAGTGTTAATGCGTGTTTGCTGCATGCAGGTCCGCTCCTGCACCGCGGAGGACGCCTTCAGGCTGCTGCGGGCCTTTGCTCAGCTGGTCTCTTCAGACAAAAATATTAACGACCAATGTAAATAACAGCGACTCCGACTTCTTCATATGCAGATACATAAACCCAAGATGTAGCAACAGGAATGGGTTGGCGGCAACCAAGTTAACATCTTTTCATGTCTCTCGGAAACTGGCTAACTCACTTTTACTGAAACTCGTGTAAATAGTGACCAACTCCTGAAGAGTCCGAAAAGAGAAGTGGAACTCAAATCTTTTTCTTTCGCTTTCTACTCTGAAAAGACTGTCAACTTGTCAGGCCTGATAATCGGAGAACTTGTTTTTAAATGTAAATGGGTAGAATGTGACGTTATCTATAGCATCCTCCAGTTTTGTTTTTTTTTCTGTGTCTTGTAAAATGTCTCCTAAAGAGTTAGACGTTTCTGTGAATATATTTCCCTCAATGTTTTTTTTTTTTTTTCTATTATTCTTGTCATTATATTGCATGAAAGACGGACTGTTTGGTAGTTTGGTATGGCATATAGGCTTAGACGTTGTGTGGCATGTTTGGCCGTTCTGGTAGCTACTGGGCAGATAGTTTGCAAAAAAAAAAAAAAAAGGTCTATAGAGGGCAGGAGAGAAAGCAAAGAAATATGAAGTTCTAGAACTGTAGAAATGAGCATAAGAGGTTTAATGTAATTTGGTTATTATTTTGCAGTTTGAAGCAGTGGGCTTGAACCTGTTGATAGCAATACATTCAATCTAGATATCTGAAATGCCACAAAAGGAGATTTTGATTTTATTTATAATGCAATAAATAAGCTTTTTAGGTGCTACATAGATATATTCGTTAATAAATCTACCTAAATTATGTATTGTATTTGACTGGGTTCATGCAAAAGATTTGTCCAAACAGTGAAGATGGTTAAACTAAGAGATATATTTGTAAATATTAGACGCTTTATTTATTTTAACATATTATCTCTATCGGCATGTGAGCCAGGATGCAGATACACCAACACTGCAGTCTGTTGAAATGTTCTGGTTTATGTGACAAATCCAGGTTACAACCTATGTTAAAAATCATTGATGATGTTGCTCTCTAATCACTCCTTTTTACAAAGAGTCCTGCAGTCTCATTAGGAAAGGTGATTTTTTTTTTTTTATTTAATTTATTTATTTTTTTTTTTGTATGTCCACATATGGTGTCTTCATTCCCTAGGTTAAAAAAACAAGGCAGCATTTGTGAGGAAAAACAAATGAGCAAAAAAAAAATCCTTTAATTGGTTTTAGATGTGTCACAGCCAGTAAGTTTGTAGTAAAATATACTTTTTTTTTTAATCATACAGCTGTGCATCAACTTACCAGCTACTTTGTTGCTATTCATTACCAGAAATCTTAATATATTAGTTTTTGAAATTACATTAAAATAAATTGAACAAATAAATTTTATTCAGATAGTTTTTTATTTTTAATTTTCAGTTATATATTATCAGAATATACATCTAGAGTAGAGCATTAACTTGGTGCATCATTACTTTCCGTTTAATGGTTGGAAGGTGGGGGTTTTTTCAATGTCAGTGTCTGAACTGGAGTAGTATTCATAAACCAGCTAGAAATGAGCCAGTTTTGTAGAAATGTTGACTTTAGTGAATGCTTAGGAGGAGAACACAGCTACAGCTACAGCTGAACATCTCACACAGATCGTTGTATTAAAATTCTGAAATTGTGCATGTTGGAGCTTTACGGACCTCGTGTTGTTTTGTCTGCTGGCGGTCAGTGACTTCAACACCAAAGTGTGACTTTTGTGTACATCCTGATAAAAGTGCCAGTTTTATGGCTCATTAAGGTTTTTATTGTCGTCTTTCTTTTCACTAATCCTCTGTTTAGCATTTTACCTCCTGACATTCCAAAAAAATGCATTTTGTCCTTATCCCACACCTTACAGTTTTTGTTTTTCTTTTTTTTTTTTTTTCTAATAAAGACAAAACAGTTTGCAGTCTGTAGTTTTATGTAAGTGCATGCACAAACAAAAGGTGGGTCTCTCATAATTGTAATTATCCTTCCTTTGTTTTTTCTTGTGTTCAGTGTACATGTTGAAACTAATGCATTAAGACCGTTACACTTAGTATTCACTTTAAAATCCCAAACAGCTGTTGTCTTAGGATGGAGTTGATGTAAACATTACCAGTGTGATTTGCGGAGCGATGGTGTGCGGCTGTGTGTAGTGTGATCAATTTGGGTGTGTGATTTTTTTTTTTTTTTTTTTTTTTTAAAGGGACCTTTCTCTAGAAGGAAACATGACTTGGGAGAGGAGAGCTTCCTAGCTTTCTTCAACTTGTGAAATAGAAAAACTAATATTTCCAATGTTCCATATTTATGATTTTCTGTTGCTTTTGTTTTTAGAGAGATAATTATATAACAAAGATATATTATTTTTTTTTTTTTTATCACTGTAGTAGGTATTCATCTTAACAGAGAAATATATCTTAATTTATTTGCGCATTGGTGGTTCGTAGAATTGCTCTGCAGTCATGATTATTTTTCCTTCTAGCTGTATTGATGAATGTTATTCCCCCCTCCCGCCCCAATCTGCTCATTCCTGCACCACCTGGGAGAGTCCTGCACTGGGACCAGCCTGCTGCCGAGGAGGAAGTGGCCTCATTCTGCTGTGACTAAAGTGAATGTCGCTTTGCTGCACTTGGTTGTCGAATCCGGTTGGAGCTCAAAAAATTGCTATAACCAGCTCAGTAAAGCCAATGCTTACTGACTTGCTCTTAATCTATGTTGCTCTCTGTTTAGAAGTTTTTATTAAGCGGAGATGGATGTTTTTTTTCTGTCCACAGATGAGGATATTTATACCCACTGTAACTTTTCCAAATTCTCCACAGCGGCTGAAGTTCATACTGTTGTTTCTGCAGCTGTTACTAAGCTTGGGAAAATCTCAGATGGAAAATTAAGGGTGAATCATCTTGTGCTGCTGGTGGTGGTGCCTTTTTGTTTTTTTGTGTTTTTTTTTTTTTTTAGGGAGAATGAAAAGCTTTATGTACTATGAGTGATGACCATAGAGCTTAGTGTGCACAGTTGCTCCTGTATATACATCTCAATGTACATATAACACGTATCCCCCCGGGGTTTTCTGACCAAACAGTTTTTACCAGACCAAGAAATTTCAGTATTCAATATGAATGTACTGCTCATTTTGTGAATTGTGGATGGAAAAAAAAGAAAAAAAAAACTTCCTTATGTCCAGAATGTTTTAACTGCACATAGTCTTCTGAAATGACAGTTTTCTCATCAGTGTATGTCTGACTTTTACTACAATCTTTGCTAAGTTATGGAAAAGAGGGAGATTTTTTTGTGTGTGTGTGAAAGTTCTCATTTTTATCTGTTCTTTGCATTTGAAGTTTTATTCTTACATTTAATTTAATATTGACAAACTAAGTCAAAGTTAATCTATCATAGCATAGCATATTCACAGGTATATATTCTGAAAACACTGCACAAATTGCACACCCAGCCTGAGGAGAGATAGCTGTGGCCACCGGGTTGAATTGTTGCTGTTGCCTTTTAGAGAGACTTTTAAATACTCAACTATAATTTTAAGCCATAACACCTAAAGTGTGCTTAGAATGTTTGACAGGTTTTGTAGTTGTCGTAAATTTGTCGTTAACTCTACTGGCGCTTCTCATATGCATCTGTCCCGTTTGTACTAAAGTAAAACGTTGCACTTATGATAGCTAACATAAATGCAAACACATTTTCTCCAAAACTGCTATGCAGCTGATGTACATTAATTTTAGATCTGTTTAAAACATGTCTTTTTTCCAAGTATAGCCCTCTGTGTTTAAACCACAGATGACAAGCTAAAGTAGAAATTCTATTATTTATGTTGCTTTTTTTTTTTTAAATGTCCTTATGGTATGATTGAAGCACAATGTTATTTCTTCTCTCAACAGTGATCAAAGTTTTGAGGGTTTTTTTATGCTTGTTTTCAGTAGAGAAAAAGTGACAAGTTGTTTGCTTTGTGGATTACCATCTTGCTTATGGGGTTTATATGAATATGTGTTAGTTAGTTGGTCTTGCTGTTTACTGGAACGGTGGTTTCTTTGAGACCGTCTGATTAGTGCCTCACTTGGAAACGCAGACCAAAAAATAAATAAATAAATAAAAATAATTATGTAGTTCTGAATTTTTATTTTGGTACTTCTTTGCAAATTCTGTAAGCCCGATTAAACCATTCTTCTAGTAAACAGCTTGGAAAATTTAGTTTTTAACCATCAGAGCAACTGCCAATCATCATTCATTAGGGGAAAATCTGTTTATATTTGGAGTTTGTTTTTGTTACTTTTATTTCCCTGCGATTTTGTAAACTTACTGCGATCTTTAATTAAACTAATATACTTTAATCATTAGTGGTGTTTTATTTTGTCAGTAATACTGAATGACATTTCGTGGAAGTTGTCCTGCGAATATGCCCTTAATAAGAATAAGAATAATTTCAATATTTAGTTCTGGGTCAATTTGATCTTATTTCATTTGCATATAAACAACAGAAGAAAATACCAGCCAAAGGAAAAACAGGAGTGACTTCAAGTCTAAACTAGTTTTGCATATAAAATCTAAGCTACAGTTTAATAACAATTAAATATTTTGTACTGCAGCAACACAGTATCATATCAATATTTTCAAAAGTTAATGGTAAAATTAGACCTTGATTGACTGATGTTTCCAATATTTGTTTAACTGCAACTATAACATATTGGCAAAAAGCTGTAGAGACCCCCTGCATCTCTTGATTATTGGCAACTTCCTCAGTTTGGATATTTTTCCCACTTGCATCAGTTGACCAGTAGGTGGTAGTGTATGATACGTTATAGTCCTACGAAGGTGTCTATACCACCCCATAACAAACACACCATTTGTGTGAAAAGGAAAATGCTGGCGTTGTCTCATTAGGATTAATGAATACCAAGTAACCAGATTACAAGTGGAGTACAGTGGACTTGGATGTCACACAGTTTGTTACTGACTCATTGCTTCATTACTCTATCATTTCATATTTGACCTTGCACTCTGTCAAACTTTGAAATCAGGAGGTGTATTGTGGACATTCCCTCAGTCAGAGTAGATTTTTATGTTGCAATTGTATTTATAGCAAAGACGATTTCTCAATATTGATCATTTATAAATCAAATTACTTGCTGTACAAGACTGACATAAGCAGACAAGATACTGTGTGGTCAAGTTATTCTACTAATGGAGCTTTTCTTCCTGACGACACGGGCATATTCTGACATGGGACGATTCCAAGATTCGTTGGGCTCAGATTTTGAAAGAGTGCGGGTTCAGGGAGCATGAGGCATCTTTTTCTTACTTGATTAACCACCACCAAGTCTGGACCTTAACCCCTTTGAGAATCTTTGGGTTGTGCTGGCTCAAACTTTGATCTTGGTGAAAAATAAATGGAAATAGATCTTGTAGCATTGCAGGAAGTTTATTGAAACAATGCCACAATAAATGCGTGGCATAGCCAAAGGCGGTCTAACCCTCCCCCCAACAAGATCAAGATAGTCCCACTTTAAACTTGATCATGATTTTGTGGTCTGAGGAACGGTGTTGATCTGGGTTTCTATAATAACAAAAACCCACTCATTACTTATTTTCAGATTTCTTTAAGATGAAACTAAATACGTATTTAAACATTTGAAGTATTTCAATGTATTATTCATACCATGCTAAAGACCTCAGGGGATTTGGAAAGAGAAACAAAAAGTTGTGAAGGTGCTTACCTGATGCAACAGCAAAGCAATCTCATTTTGACAGCGTTTCTTATTGTGTGAGTCAGCCTTTCATCAATACTTTCGGTATGACATTTGAACATTTTTTATGTTTGAGATGGTCATAAATGTGCTCATAAAATGTGTCTTGTTTTACAAATAGAGAAGAGAGTTTTCTCTTTCATTCTATTGTATACTTTTACTTAGCATTACATTCCAAAATTAGAGCTCAGAATCACTTTTGAAAAAAAAAGTATACGTTAGCTACATTTATTTTGAGGAAATTGTTTTGAAGAAAAGTCAGCTGAGCAGCAAGTGCAGCTCAGCTGAATTTTGCTCAGCTGAGCTTTTTTAATTAAAAAAACATTTTTTTTTTAATTAAAAAAAAATAATTTTTTGTAGTGTGGGATTAACTTCTTTTGAGGATTTTTTAAAAAAGAAAATAAGTGGTGTTCATAATTTTGGAACAGTTGTAAAATAACTACCTGTTCTTTGAAGTCTTTGGCAGACTTTACTTGACCCACCTATTTAGAGATGATTGCTGGTTTTTGTGGTGATCCCCACTTTATTATTATTATTATCTCTTTTTTTACTTTAAGCAAAAGCAAAAGTTAAATTTAAACTGAATGTTAATTCTGGTTATTAGGTTTTTACTTTCCAATTCTCATCACATATGTTCTCAAATGTACTTGCACTTTCACTTACATGTGTCACCTGATTTAACTGTGATAATATTGTGGTATAAAATCTGCAATACTAATAAACATATTGTTTTGCTACTTTTTAGAGTTATTTTGTATACTAATTATAAAAAGAGTACTCAAATTTGAGAAAACAGGGATCTTTTAAAGTTTTTTTTAAAGATTTGTGTTATGTTTATGGTTTATGTTTGAAGATGTGTTTATATGTTCAGTGTGATGCAATGAAATACTTAAATGTTGAAACATCTTTGTTAAACTGTCAGCTATGTTAGCAGGGCATCATACAGTAGATTTTTTATGAAAACATATTTCAACATAAGGTTCGGTTTAAAAATTATTTTATATGAAACAATATAAAATCATTTTTATATTGTTTATCATTTTTACTAATTTACTATGGGTTAATATCGTTCGTTTACTTTCAATATGCTAGTTTCCGATATTCCCCTAAACGCACCATCAAGCTTTCCTTTATCTACTGCGCACGCGTAGGGCGCACTCTCAGACCAGCTCGCTCTTTCTGCGCGCAGCATCAAGAACATGGCTGACGTGACAGCGGTGGGGGAAGAGAAACTCAGCAAAAAGTGAGCATGTCTCCTTACTACCAAGCTTTTTAAGCTTTAGGTGCTTCCTAATCTTTAGTTTTTTCTGCAAGGTTGTTGCTCTTTTGTTAACAAGACGCGCTTTAATCTTGCTATACAAATTCTTGTGACATCTAAATGAAGGTCCCATATGGAGGCACGCTACAAGACCTACACATCCCATATTTAAGTTCGCTGCTCCTTCTGGTAGCTGTAGTCCTCTACGGTGACGTAAACAAGTCTAGGTCGGTAGTTTGGCGAACAGAAAAAACTACAAGATTTATTTCCGGACTTCAACATGTTGCCGGATTCTACTTTCTCCCGTAAAAATTAGAATTTTAATAGTATATGTCGCTAACTTGTTTGTATAAAACGTGGAGACAACCTATAAAACTACGCCAAATCCGTTTTAAGGATCTTGTATCTATAATAAAATGTTAAATTATTTATTCCATATTATTGTTATTATTATTTATTGTTGTTGCTATTACCATTATTATTATTGTTGTTGTTACCCTGAGGTCTTTGAGTTGTAGAATTTAGTTTTGCAATTAGTTTTTCCCTTTCTGGTGAGCAAGTACCACCGTTGATGCTCCCATCTGTCTTTGCATGTATATGTTTTCTCAGGTCTGTCTGCTGACTGTGGTAGCTCAGCATGCTGTGTCTGGTCAGGGCTGCCAGGCAGCAGCTGTGCCAAGCCTTTGCTGTCAGAGGACAGTGGTTAAAATATGCATCCCCGTGTTCAGCTGCAGCCCCGGCTCAGTTTCACGGAATACGATGGAGAGGTGACAAAAGGTTGGTGGCTTTTCCGTTACTGTGTGAGAAACAACCAACCTTTTGTCATCAAACTAGATATGTTCTCCCTTGTAATTATTCTTCTTGCTCTCCTTTAATAGTCGACACCACACTACAGTAAAAAGCAAGGGGACATCGTATTGTTGATGTTATGTTGGTGAACATGTTTTTTTTGTTTTTTTTTGTGTGTGTGTTTTTTAAAGGCTGAAAATCTTTTTAGAAAGTCTAGTTCATTTATTGTGTTTTTGTTGTTTCAGTGAGTTGAAGAGACGAATGAAAGCTGAGAAGAAAGCAGCTGAGAAAGAATCAAAAGCAAAGGATTTGGGAGAACAAGCTGACTCTAATAATGCCAGTGCACAAAATGCCAGTGCGCTGGATGATGAGACACTCGATCCCAATGTAAGATGGTCACAAATCACCATTAAATATACACTTAGTATGTTTCCTTTTGCAAGCATGTTTATCCATTTCAACATTAGTCAAAAAATTCTTAAACTGGGTGTGCACTTCTGAAATTGAAACTGAAAGAAACTAAGTGAAATGATGTGAGTTTAGACAAATATATGCACTAATCTGTCCTTCAGGCACTCTGTTTAAAGATGAAGATAACTTCATTTCATAAAAAAACAAAACAAAAAAAAACAAGTTTGCTAAGACAGTTTTTGGACAACCAATCTGTATGAATATATTTGTAAGTTGCATTTTTTTTATGAAATCCCTGACCCACACTTAAGCTTGGGGTGGTTGTTTTCATGACTTTCATTGTGAGAGCATATTTCTCTCCTGTGTGCCAGAAGTGATAACATGGGTGTGCCTTAGCAAGCCCAACTCAAAAAGAAACTGAAAGAATCTAAGCTAACTTGTGTTATAGAAAATATATTCAAATATACTCGCCCATTCTTTATTTAACATTTTACATGTTTAAAAAAAGAACAAAGAGCCTTTGATGATACACACCACTGCATTGAGAGTATTTTCTTTACAGATAGAGATCATCTTATAAACTATTTTGATTACTTTTTTTCTAAATAGGAAATATTTGAAACTCAGGGTGGATATTTAAGGCTTTTATTGAAGCAATAATTTTTATACTAAATTTTTAAAATCTTCCAAATAGGAAGAAATGGAAGAAATGGAACGTCCTGCAGACAAACCAGACAATTCAAATATGTAACCAAATGCTATTCATCTTGTCATTAGCTCAACATAATGATGTTTAAAGCCTGCAGCAGAGATTTGCAAGCAATGTACAGGAAGTAGGTCACAACTTTCCTACAGATCATGCTTCAGGCTGGCTAATAACATACTTGTGTAACAGCAATACTTCAAGATCCGCACCCAGGCCATCCAGGAGTTGAAGGGCACAGCTGAGGACCCGTACCCACACAAATACCATGTAGACTTGTCGCTTACAGACTTCATTCAGAAATACAACCACCTGCAGCCTGGGGACCAACTGAGCGATGTTGTTCTCGCTGTGTCAGGTACCAGGAAAACTTTATGAACTTACCCTTTCCAAAGTAAACCAGCCTCATACCCTGTGTTAAACTTAAATATTTGGCAGGCCGAGTTCACGCCAAGAGAGCTTCTGGCGCCAAGCTGATCTTCTACGACCTGCGTAGTGAAGGAGTCAAGCTGCAGGTCATGGCAAACTCAAGGTATGCCATCTGGAGCTTTCATTGAGTGAGGTTGTGGATTTGTTTGACAACATTAACCTCACTTCTTTGACTTTTTGGGTTATTCTGGCAGGAACTACAAGTCTGAAGAAGCGTTTGTGGCCATCAACAACAAGCTGCGCCGTGGCGACATCATTGGTGTCCGTGGAAATCCTGGAAAGACCAAGAAGGGGGAGCTGAGCATCATTCCCATTGAGATTACCCTGCTGTCACCATGTTTGCACATGTTGCCCCACCTCCACTTTGGCCTCAAAGACAAGGTGATTCACAACATACTGGTCCTGAACATTGTATGAAACTTGTGTCTCCATTTTTGCAACACATATATGACGGGAAAATTTCTACCATCCTACCATAGTGTTATTGTATATGTAATTAAATTTGTTTGCAGTAGTTTAGTATTTATAACTGCCTGGAAACAGAACCTGAGTTGTAATGGAAACAACTTTTTTCTCACTTCTCAAGTTTGAAAGATACCAATATTTTACATGTTTCTTTCTGGTTTTCTATTTAACTCCCAACACTCTCCACAGTCTCTTCACTTTGCAGCGGCATCAATAAAATGCCATAAGATCTGACATTTCTTCTTGTCAAAACTAGTTGTGACAACCAAAAAAGCGCTGAAGCTCATCCTTGTTTAGTGTCCCAGAAAACATGATGGTACTTGACTTTCCTCTATCGCCAGAGACTACTCAAGTTTGTGGGGTGTGTGATTTTTATTTCTCGTAAAGGAAACTCGATTCCGCCAGCGCTACTTGGATCTGATTCTCAACGACTATGTGCGGCAGAAGTTCTTAACTCGAGCCAAAATCATCACATATCTGCGAAGCTTCCTCGACCAGATGGGCTTCCTGGAGGTTAGTTGTGTTTTGGGTTTTAGAAGTTGATCGTGCCACATAGCTAACCTGCTAAACCACATATCACAGTCCAACGCTTAGCTGGATTTAAAGAAAAACAAAAAAAACATTTGTGTGGACTCTTCTTTGTCACTTCCTACATTTCAGGCAGCAGTGTTAACCTACTGTCCTTATCCTAATGTTTCAGATTGAGACACCAATGATGAACATTATTCCTGGAGGAGCAGTGGCCCGTCCTTTCGTTACCTACCACAATGAGCTGGACATGAACCTCTTCATGAGGATTGCCCCTGAGCTGTACCACAAGGTAAAATGCTGTGAAAACTCAGAATTCTCTTTCAAGTAGTGACTTTCACAACAACCACTTTCAGGAGGTTTGGGGAAAACGAAAAATCAAAAGCTTCCATTCTTGCTTTTGAGCAGTGGAGCTTTTTGTGCATTCTGTACTCAGAACTTCATGTTTTCTTCACAGATGCTGGTGGTTGGTGGCCTGGACAGGGTGTATGAGGTCGGTCGTCAGTTCAGGAACGAAGGAATCGACCTCACTCATAATCCAGAGTTCACCACCTGTGAATTCTACATGGCATATGCTGATTACCATGACTTGATGGAAATCACAGAGAGACTGCTTTCAGGTGACTTGCAAAGCCTTTTTGACGAAATTGTTTCTTCAGATCTTTTATTTAGAAACACTAGGTTTTTCCCTTCTTTTTCACCAACAGTTGAACTTTGCATTGCAGAACAGGTTAGGATTCTAGACGTGACTAAATAAACTAATGGATTTCAACAAAAACTGTTCTTACTTTGGTAGTAAGAACAATTAGAATATAAAGTCTGTTCTTGCTGTCAGAAATGATGCTAACTCGGATAGATGTTTTTTTTTTTCCATTGCTTAGAGAGGATTTCTTTTGTTGTTTTATAAAATGTGAGCTGTTTTTATAAATCCATAATTTTCCTAATCTTTTAAACTTTATGCAGTTGAGTCAATTGACAACACCTACTATAATCGGTGCCATACTGACCAACCTGACTGCGATTTAATAGGTAGAATTATCTACACATTTTGTGACGGAGTTTATGAGGACAGTGCAACAAGACATGAAATGCAAACTTTTGACGCTTAAAATTGTTGTCTAATGCTGGTTCTCAAGGGCATCATTTTCAATATTTCTCTGGTTCCTCACAACTGAATCAGATGACTGGTTCGCTACCAGGTCTTGCTGGCCCTTTTAATACTCGCTTGTCATTGTGACATAGATCTCGTATATCATCTCAGACACAGACATGCTGTAAAACATTTGTCCCCGTCCCAATGATTCTATACTTATTTCAGGAATGGTGAAGCACATCACCGGAGGATACAAGGTGACTTACCATCCTGATGGTCCAGAGGGCCAGGCCTATGAGATTGACTTCACTCCTCCATTTAAAAGAGTGAGCATGACACACGACCTGGAGAAGATCATGGGAGTTAAATTCCCTCCAACGGACAGCTACGACTCCGACGGTATGAAGATGTACAAACAGCTGCCTCAGGAGAATATTATCCAAAGCTGTTCTATCATTTAGATGACTCAGTTTCTGATGAAGAGTCATCATTTGTTTTTCAGAGACCCGCAAATTCTTCGACGATCTGTGTGCCCAGAAAGGTGTTGAGTGTCCTCCACCCAGGACCACTGCCCGCCTCCTTGACAAGGTGCGCTGTGATTAAACTTTATTAAACCCTTCTAGGGTGTTCCTCATTATGTTACTATTGGGTTTTGTTCCTTGTTCTGCAGTTGGTTGGAGATTTTCTTGAGGTCACGTGCATCAGTCCAACTTTCATCTGTGATCACCCTCAAATCATGAGCCCCTTGGCGAAATGGTAAGAAGCATCAAGCTATTCATTCTACTGTTGAATTGCAGTGCTGAGGCTCTCACTGTGACACTCTTCTCCGTTTCAGGCACAGATCAGAAAAAGGTCTAACTGAGCGTTTTGAGCTTTTTGTCATGAAAAAGGAAATTTGCAACGCCTACACGGAGTTGAACGATCCAGTCATACAGAGGGAGCTGTTTGAGCAGCAAGCCAAGGTCTGTGTGGATCGTCTGTTTTGCAATTATACATTAGCCCATTGTTTTGCTATGGAACGATTTCCATTCTGTACTTTTGATCCATACTGATTCTGTAACGTGACTCTTTTTAGGCAAAAGCTGAGGGTGACGATGAAGCCATGTTCATTGATGAGACCTTCTGCACAGCACTGGAATACGGTCTGCCTCCGACCGCTGGCTGGGGGATGGGCATCGACCGTCTCACCATGTTCCTCACCGACTCAAACAACATCAAGGTAACATTGCTCAAAAACACGAACACAGCCATAACTGGGCAAACTTGTCTTGTGTTTTGAATAATGCAGATTTAATCAACTGGAAATTCTCACCACAATTTGAAACCAGATTTGATGTATTGAGACAGATACAAAATATATGGTGTACTGCTAACAACACAAGTAGAGTACTGCTAATGGTGACTGTTTCTCTATTCATAAAATCACAATATTGTTGAAAGTGTGTAAGTTTGTGTGAATTTTATTACAGTTATGATTAGGTTTTTTTTATCCTCGTTTTTTGAGGTATTTCATCATTTTGATGAAATCAATTAATGAAAACATTATAGTAAATGCTGTAATGTAATGTGTCTGTGATGATACAGTGTGTCATTGGTTGAACTACAAAACAGGGTTTTTTTTAGCTGTGCAAGTCAATCCAGGTCCTTTTGCTCTGGATATGTAAGCATTTCATGTAAAATGGGTGGAGCTGGTTAAGGGAGCATTCAACATTGTAAATGTGTGAACTCAATTTTACTTGAGGGTTGCTCTTTGGCTTTTGAAAGTACATTTGAGGAAAGAAGCATGTGAACTGATGTGAAAACAATATGTCAACACAGTATGAGCCGGTTTGATGAGTTGGATGTCCTCTACACTCAAATTAATTTTAGCTAAGTCAGGTGTGATCCATCAATACAAAGAGATATTCTGATTGGTTCTGATCTTCATCTCCAAACAGAAACAAACTTCAACATAGTCAGTTTCCCTTCTTCAAACTTTATTTAACTTGAGATGGGTAAAAATAGGCAGGTAATGTATTATTTTTTTAGGACAATTTATTAAAAAGTTATGCATTATGTTAATCAAAGATTGCCAGGGTGTGTGGCATACTCAGGAAAAACGTAAACCAGCTGCATGATACTGGAAATCTACAACTAAATGACTTTTTATCTGATCTTTTTTTTTTTTTTCCCAGTGGTCATACATCTAATAAATTTAAAACTAAGAACTTAAGTTTATTTCTTTCTGTTTTGTAAGGATTAAACTGTAGACGTTTTGGGTTGAAATTATTCTAATAGAGAAAATCATGGAGATATTGGAATTTTATTATTATTATTATTATTATTATTATTCAGTTTCAGGTGGTATAAAATAGTTTGTTGCTAATATGTTTGCATAAATAACTTTCCAGGCTGTGGTTTCACTCAGAAATGACTCCCGAGCATCATCAGACGAAACGTGTTCTAGTTCATGTGCAATCTAAATATAACATTTAACCTTTTACAGGAGGTTTTGCTGTTCCCAGCCATGAAGCCTGATGACAATAAGAAGTCTGCTCCCTCTGAGGAACCTTCTTCCTAAGGTCTTGACCTCTGATCCCTCCAGCTGCTTCATCTCTGCAGGAGTCCATATGAAGTATTGGTCTTTACCTCACACTGGGCACCAGCAGAGTCTGCAAATTTAGTTTTAGTTTGTTAAACATTGGAGCTTATTGGTCCGGGATTCATATCGATTTGTTTTTGTTTTTTTTTTTATTTCGTCTGCTCATCACACCGATTGAATCCTCAGTCCTTGAAAGAAGGTTTTAACTCTTTGCTATCCAAACCGTAAATATTTGAAATTCAATCAGAAAATGATCAGGAAGTCATTTGATCTGTTGCCATGTCCAAATCTGGTTTTACTTTTATGCATATTCTGAGTTACTGAGGGAATCCTTAATTCTGAATACCAATATACATAATATGGACTCGCATCTAAACAACAACTCAAACCTTGATTCTTGAAGTGTCCTCTGTATGTTCATGTTATTTTTAACTGATTTGCTTGTATTCTTTGTCTAAGATTTTTCATGTTGGTTTCATTAAATTTAATACCGATCTGCCAAGAAAGTGAAATTCTGGGTTTGAATAAAGTACAATTGAATCTGCTTTGTTTTGTTCTTTTCCTGCGACTTCTAGGATATTTATTTTTGACAGATGTATAAATTACTTGAATTTTTGTGGAATGAATCTTCTCTGTCTTCATATCAATGGAAATTACCTAGATTAGTCAATCAAAAACTAACAGAAATATGAAGTGTAAAATTTGATTTGAAAAAGATGTCAGAAAAGGACATACAACTGTGACCAAAAAAAAAAAAAAGACTTTTTCACAACCCTGATGTTTGGTCTATATTCAGGCCTATCTCCATCCATTGATTGTATTCAAATTATTTGAGGACTGGTCACAGGAACATGTCCGAAATAAAGGATGAGAAGTTCCGCATGTCGCGAAGGAGGAAGAACTTCAAGAAAGCCTTCAAAAATGTTAAATACTCATCCTCTATATATGGCTTTGGGGCTGATGTAATCCAGAGGTTTTTTTGCAGGGACTTTGTCCTAACTTTGGAGTCTAATTGTGAGCATATGTGGCCTATTTAAGAATTGAGAATTTAAAATGAATTTCAATTTAATAATTTAAAAATAATAAAATATTATTGAATTATACAATTTACCCACATTGTTCACTGGAAATTACAACTGACTTCCATCCATCAGTTGTTTTTCTTAACCACACAAAACATTTTGTTTCAAAGTTCTGCTGCAAGATGTAAAACTTGCTGTCTAAATTGATTGTGGTGGTGCAAACAATCTAAATCTTTTAAAATATGGATGTGGCTGTTAGCAGACTTTGCTTGGAAAGGTTTCTTGGTCTTTAGTGAGTTTATGGAAGGACATTTTTCCAACATGGATGATGACACTACAAATACCAGAAATCTTATTTCATTATCTAGAACATAAATGTTTTTGCAGCATCAAATGTATGATTTTTTTTTTTTTATTTATGAACTAAGTGAATAAATGAAATAATACTGTAACTGGAAGACTTTTTTTTTTTTTATTAATAACTGACCTTTGGGTCAATTCACCCTTCAGGAGGGGGATGGTGCGCGCACCATCCCCCTCTTCTACTTCTCCACCATCATTGTCCACGCAGGAGCTCGCCACAGGGGGATGGTGCGCGCTCTCGTGGCTCAGTGTGTTTGTGCATCTGTGTGTGTGTGTGTGTGTGTGTGTGTGTGTTCTGAGTTACACGGTGCCTGCCTGTTGCAGAGTGAGTGAAGATGGCGATGAGAGCAGCGCTGCGGTGCCTCTCTGTAAACTTTTCTCCCAGGTTGCCGCAACTCTCGTCCGCAGCGCAAGTTTCTGCGACTCGGCTGCTGTGCCGGAGCGGCGCCCCGCGGACTCTGAGCACCACCTCCGACCAGTGCACAGGTAAAAAAAAAGAAAGAAAGGAAGAAATACAAACCAAACAGAAGAACCACGGAACAGGGGGATAAACTCCACTCCCCATGTGGACAGATTCCTCATTATAATCAGCTTCCAAAAATAAATAACTATTATGAAATGGAGGAATAAAAGACAAGAAGGACAGCTAGTCATGTGCTGTTTAACTTGGATGTTATTTTGTTTTTATTTCTGTAAATTTGACCGCATGTTGCGTGCTTTATCTTATTAACCACGAGCTCCTGATTGGGGTGTTATAGGAAACCCGTGTGCACCAGTAAGCAGCCTGTTCAAGCAAATGTCACCCATTTTGCTGCAGTTGTGCAATATAAATATCGATAGAGTGATTATCCACCCAGCAGCTGCCGTGATGTACCCGTTTTAAGATCAGAAAAAGCGTTTGGGGCATTTAGTTATTTGTATGACTCTAGTTCTGCATCTTGCATCGTCACAAATCTGGTTCAAAACTGTATTTTTCTGACGCCAGCTCTGAACATTGCTCAGGCTTTAGCCTGCAGTTGTTCCCTCGGGGTGACAGCATGAGCCTGGAAGCACAATGCTCCAACTCAACACTGGGCATGACTGTGAACACAAGTTATTCTTGCTTTTTGTGAGCCCCTTTCCTGGAAGCATAACTGCATACACCTGCAGAAACGCATAGTAAGCGGATACTTTATTTTTCTGCACATGGTCTTGCATAACTGAGAGCCTGACGTCCGGCTGTGGTCCATAGTACACACATTTTTATTCTTTGTCAACACAGTTGGTGTTTTTTTTTTTTTTTCTAGCATGACTAACTTGCTTTGTGAATCACAGTTCATATAACCTTTTTGTTTTGTTTTTTTAATATGCAATTATTTTTTCTCCCTGTAGCCCTCAAGTTCACCGAGAAGCATGAGTGGGTGCTGGTGGAGAGTGGAATCGGCACTGTGGGAATCAGTAACTATGCTCAGGTCTGCTTTTTAATTAGTCATTCTTCTAATCTTTGATTTATAGCACTCTTTGCTCTGACTTTTCCTGATGGCGGTCTAAAAGCTCTCCAGAGCTGCACTTTGCTCTCAGCATGTCCACTGTATCAGGGTAATTCATTGCTTTATGAGTATTCTTTGATAACCGCCAAGCGGTTCAGACCGTAGCTGTCCAAGCGGTAAATAAAAGCAGAATATTATTATCCTAAACCTGAATGAAGCAGTTGAGGCGTTATTGTTTTCCATGGTGAACATTTCCTGTTCTAATAAGCCACAGCTTCTGAGATAAAGCATAAGACGAGCATAAGATACGCTCAATAAATATTATGCAAGGTTTTTAGAATTAAGAATTAAATGCAACTTTTAAAATTAGGCAGAAAAAAAAAATCATCTTAAGCTAGTTTACAGAAAAATAGAAATCCTTTTATGATGTTTACTGTTCAGAGACCTTGTAGTTAGACTTAAAAACAGTCCAAAGACAGTTTATGCTGCCAAACAGACAACATCTGAAACTTGGGTGCAAACAGCTTGTTTCAACATGTTCTAACTCCAACTGCTTGGCGTTGCTTATACTCCAATTGTGCAGTTTGGGAGCAACACCCAAATGTGAGGTTATTTGTTGTCAGAACAAATCCTCTAAACAGGAGATGTTGTTGTAAATCACTTTGTTCATGTTAATACTTTAATAGTTCACATGCACTGTGTTGTTGTGATAAATATAATAATCATTACTATTTGATGATTTTTAGGAAGCTTTAGGTGACGTGGTTTACTGTGGACTGCCCGAGGTTGGCCAAAAACTTGAACAGCTGGGTGAGATCAGGGAATATACTACACCTGTAGTAAGTGTTGATAGCTGTGCAATAAATGTAATCTTTTTTTGTGTTGTGTGTATTTCTGCTGCAGAGGAGTTTGGTGCCTTGGAAAGTGTAAAGGCTGCCAGTGAGCTATACTCACCACTGACAGGGGAAGTGACAGCAATCAACACGGAGCTGGCCGAAAATCCAGGGCTCGTGAATAAATCCTGCTACGCAGACGGTAAGTCTCAGTGTTGCTCATCATAGAATTTTGTTGTTATTCCTATAGACCTATTCCACTGCTTTTGTCACCAGTGCAGTTGAAAAGCTGCCAAAATAGAGCCATGTCCACGTTTTACTTTCAGGTTTTCCTTTTTATTTTTCAGGATGGCTAATCAAGATGACCATCGAAAAGCCTGAAGAACTCGATAAGCTCATGGACCAACCTGCTTACGATAAATTTATTAAGTCGCTGGAAGAATAAGTCAACAAATTTATTGTGATTATTTGTTATGTAGCTGCAGTCAAATATTAGCAGACTGGGTTACTAACATTGGCAGTGACCTACATCATCCTTTGCAGTATTTATTTATGTTATGAACACTTTCTAGTGTGCTGCAAAATTTTAAATACCCAGTAACATTTTTCATGTGGAAAGTGGGGATAATTCACCAGTGAATCTAAAGGGCTTTTATACTAAGGTTTGTCAGTATTATTGGATCTTTGCTCTGTTTTTAAATAGTGCATAGATGTATTAAAACGCTGGGAAATTCAGTTTCTAATTGGTTTATTAAAACACTGAGAAGTCTTTAAGTTTGATTTAATCTGCCTGAAATCTGATGCGTTGTGTGTTTCAAGAAGGCACAGTATATCTTTATGATGTGTCGCACACAGATATGCTCACATCCTGTCGCAGCTGTCCAGATGGTGACAGGTCATACCGTCTGCTTGTCCTAATTTTAGTTCCACACACTTTGACCTTTCCACTTGGTTGACGGTAGGCTGAGATTGCTGAAGCTAGTTGATCAATAATTAATCCAACTAAAATTTTAAACCCATTGACAAAAGCTGCAGTTAGTGCTTTAAGTTAATTATTTTAATGACTGTGTTCAAAAAACAGTTCAAACATTTCAAATTACAGATGTTATGCTAAAAACAACCTTTATACTTCCATAGTTTTAGTTTATTCGTATTCTGTAAACTGGATTGCTCTGTATTTGTTAAAGCAAAGTGTCTATGTAAAAATCCTATTATAAATGCAGAACACACCCACCACAGTTATTGACATCACTGGTTGCTATGAATTTTTTTTTTTTTTTTTACATTTATACTTTACTTCTTTATGAACTAACCTAATACTGAAACTTTTTAATAAAGTGAAACCCTTATTGTTGAGTAGTTTTATTCAGTAGGAGAAAAGTATTGTCTTAAGAGGTAGTTGATTTTTAACAAAAAGCCTTCTCACAATTATTGGGACCCCTGACAATTTATGCTATAAAACACTGATCAGGTATTTTCAACGCAAACTGTTTAACTGATCAG